ACACGTCGGGCCAGTAGGGATAGTAGTTGTTCCTACTAGGGTCGAGGAGGTGGATGCACCCTCACCATCTCGAGAGATGGCCCAAGGTATTGACTCCATCGTCGTCCCGCAAACACATTCGGACCCATCGAGCCTCTGTTCGATGAATGTGTTTGAGTCCTTAGAGGAGCAAGAGGAGGAATGGTCTAGATCAGACCCGCTAACTTCTTGGACGACATTGGCAAAACCCCCTAAGGGTGAGATGTTCGTCAGCGAGGTAGTCATCGGCGGTCGCAAGGCCGGGGCCTATTATGACACTTGCTCGACACGGAGCTTCATTAGTCGCGCGTGCGTTGAGAGGCAGTGCTTACAGGGGCAAGTGCAGCGCCTGAGTCGACCTGTGGAGTCGACCTGTGCCAACAAACAGCACATGGTAGTCGATGACTACCTTCAGAACGTTGAGTGTTGTTTCCCGTACACGGGAGGGGAACTGAGACATCGCGTCTCGTTCCTAGTCAGCAATGATCTCCCAATGGACATACTGTTGGGTATGTACTATCTTTCGGTTGCACAGCCCCAATTTGATTGGGACCGAAAAGTGGTCAAGCACACTTTGCCAGGTGGGGGGACCTCCAGATTTCGTGAGTTTAAGGCTAGTAGTCTGATCGAGTCCTACGGATGCATGTGTGCCGCCGCATTTTATAATTATTATAAGCAAAATCCGGAGGAGGGTATGTATCTAGTATATGTCTTTGCAGCAGGCGAGCCGGTGAAAATGCCGCCAGAGATAGAGGGAGTAGTTGCTAAATACCCTGATCTATTTGAAGAGCCGAAAGGGGTTGTTGAGAGGGAGGTCATCCATGCAATAGAGATTATCCCATGGTCTAGCATCCCGAAGGGTAGGATCTATCGGATGTCTCCAGGCGAGCTTGATGAGCTTCGCCGGCAACTGAAGGAACTCGTACAAAAGGGTTGGATCCAACCGAGTGTTTCCCCTTATGGACCTCTAGTCCTATTCGTATCAAAGAAGGGGGGAACTCTGAGGATGTGCATTGACTATAGGGGCCTCAATACCATCACTGTCAAGAACCGAGAGCCCCTACCGCACATCGACTTGCTAGATAGAGTGCAAGGGTGTCGGTACTTCAGTAAGATAGACCTGAAGTCCGGGTACCATCAGATTGTAATCCGGCCCGAGGATCAACACAAAACCGCATTTCAGACCAGGTACGGTCTGTACAACTTTGTGGTGATGCCTTTCGGCCTTTGCAATGCTCCTGACACCTTTCAGCACACTATGAATCGGATTTTTCATGACTACTTGGATAAGTTTGTCATTGTGTACCTCGATGACATACTTATTTTTAGTAGGACTGTCGAGGAGCATGCTGCGCACTTAAACAAAGTCCTCAGTCTCCTTCAACAGCACCAGTTCAAGATCAACGGGGAGAAATGCGAGTTTGGGCGCACCCGGATCTTGTACTTGGGTCATGAGATTTCCGCGGAGGGATTGAAGCCCGATGACGCGAAGGTGGCCAGCATTCGTGACTGGTCGCGTGCTCAGTCTGTGACTGAGATGAGGTCTTTCTTAGGCATGACCGGCTACTACCGTAACTTTGTTAAGAACTATAGTATAGTGGCCGCCCCTTTGACTGACCTGACTTGCCTTGACACCCCGTGGGAGTGGAGAGACAGGTGCGAGGTTGCTTTCAGACATCTGAAGCATGCGTTGACGCATCATGAGGTCTTCAAACTTCCTGATCCTGACAAGCCATTCATAGTAACCACGGATGCCAGCCAATATGGCATTGGTGCCATGCTAGCGCAGCAGGAGGGGCCAAAGTTGAGGCCAGTCGAGTACATGTCCAAAAAGATGTCGTCTCAGAAGTTGGCTAAGTCCACTTATGAGAAGGAGCTTTACGCGATTTACAAGGTACTGACCCATTGGAGACATTACCTCCTTGGGAGGTTCGTCATCGTCAGGACTGGCCATCAGACCCTGAAGTGGATGAGAACGCAGTCAGTGCTCTCCGATGCATTGAAGTGTTGGATCGAAGTCATTGAGCAGTATGACTTCGAACCGCAGTATCTACAAGGGGAGTACAACAAAGTTGTTGATGCCATATCGCGTAGGCATGATTTCTTTGGTGCGCAAATCACTGAGGTCGGACTTGCGGACGATGTCACTCGCTCGTTGGTGGAAGCCTATCGCGAGGCCCAGTTCATGGCTGAGATCATACGCAGACTCGAGGCGAAGGACAAGATGACTTCAGCCGAGTTTGAGTTGGTCAACAGCTGTTTCTTGAGAAGGAAGGGGATAAACGTCTGTGTGTGCCAGATAGAGAGTCTTTGCGTAATTTATTTTTAGGCGAGTGTCATGATGCCACCGGATATTTTGGCTATAAAAAGACAGCAGCCAATCTGCTGCAGCGGTTCTGGTGGCGAACGATGATGAGAGACGCCAAGCTGTACGTGGAAACTTGTCAGGTCTGTCAGAGGGACAAGCCACGTACACAGGCCCCCCTTGGGCTTCTAATGCCCCTTCCGATTCCGGAAAGGCCTGGTGAGAGCCTGTCCATGGACTTCATGGATACGCTAGTCACCAGCAAGAGTGGAATGCGCTATGTCTAAGTCATTGTGGATAGATTTAGTAAGTACGCTAGGTTAGTCGCGATGCCTGCAACAGCTAAGACTGAGTACGTAATTAAGCTGTTCAAAGAGAACTGGGTCAGAGATTTTGGCTTGGCAGTTTGGACTGCCAAAATCTGTAGTCAGTGACCGTGATGTGTGATTCACCAGTGAACTGTGGAAAGCCGCAGCTGCAGAGCAGGGAACGGAGTTGCAGATGACGTCAGGGAACCATCCCGAGGCGAATGGGCAAGCAGAACAGTTGAACCGCGCTGTACAACACCTGCTGAGGCACTACATCAAGCCAAATCAGGTAGACTGGGATGAGAAACTTGCTCTCATCGCCGCCCTGTACAACAACGCTGTGCACAGCGCAACGGGAGTGAGCCCGAACAGCCTGCTACTAACATTCAAGCCTAGATTGCCCTTGGATTTCCTATTACCTGAGAACCAGCCTTCTGCTGCACCAGGAACCTTAGAATTTGCTTATCATTATGAGCGTCTGATGCAGCTGGCTGTTGAACAAATGCACAAGGCTCAGGCGGCGATGATAGAATCTGAGAACAAGCACCGCCGCCGGTCCACGTTTCAGGTAGGAGAGAGAGTCTGGGTCTAGTCCTCGGAACTGGGACAGGAGCACGGGATCTCCCACAAGCTCATGCCACAGTACTTTGGACCATGGGAGTTCCTAGATGTTGTTGGGGATGAACCGGATGGGCCGTCATATGTTATTCGCATCCCTGGTCACTTCCGTACTTACCCTGTATTTCACGCTTCCAAACTCGCACCTTCCAGGGAAACAGATCAGTTTCCCTCTCGTCGCTCAATGCTGCCCCCAACCATGGATGGAGAGGTCGACATCGATGACATCGTTGACCACAAGAAAATGCCAGTTCCAAGACCGACAGGCAGGGGACGTCCTCCGAAACCGAAGCTGCAGTACCGGGTTTGGTTCAGACATCATACTGATCCCAAGGAGGATCGATGGTTTACCAGGGAGGAACTTATGCAGACCGCTCCTCAGGCTGTGGCCCAATATGAAAAGTCTCTGCAGAAGGGAAAGCGCCAGATTATTGAAGATTAAACTTCTCAGAGGACTAGCGAAGTATGGAGGAGGGAATGCGAGGCACAAGGCCTCGATACGCCCTACTGGGCCCTATTTTCAGCACAGTCGGCCGCCCTAAGTGAAGGCAGGCTCGACCGAGGCCTACTGGCCAATTTTGGGGTCAACACGCAACTGGGGAAATTCAGGCAGTTGCACAGCGCCAGTTGGTTGAAAGCGCCCAGGCCCTGGCCTCCTTTATCAAATGCATCTGAGTCAGGCCCTGGGCGAGATACGCAGCATGGACCCAACT